ATATATATATATATATATATATATATATATATATATATATATATATATATATATATATATATATATATATATATATATACCTCGCTTTTTATAATTGCTTTGCTAACGGAATTGCACTCCGGAAAGACGTGGCGACATGAAAATTCGATTAGACAAACATAAATGTCCTGAGAAATGAAACTGACTCTTCTTTTATTAATCATCTTATAGTTTTTGTTTTAAAAAAAAGTAGAATAATATTAGAAATATTGAAGAAGAATTATTTTGATTAACAAAAAAGTTTAGAGATATTTCATAAAAAAGACTTGAAATGATAAAATTATTTGCAGACTTTATTATAGTTTTTTAATTTAACATAGTTGCTGATTACGAAAGAAAATTGAAACTACATGGTCACTGTAATTATTTCGTTGACAATTTCCAATATTAATTATTCCGCCAATAATTTCTGATACTGATTAATTCAGTGATAATCTCCGGTATCAATTAATTTACCGGTAATTTCTGATATTGTGAGAATAAGCAGAATTGAAGCATAAATAAGATGTAAATTGTTATTCCTCTTTTAATACATGACTCATACCTATCATTTCATTTCATAATTTAATTTCGCAATCAAATTTTCCTGAGTATGTTATCGTTGCATTATTTGATATCGAAGGTATTATCTGAAGTGTTTATATATGAAATAAAATGAAACTGAATGAAATTAAATTAAACTGAATATTTTAATTATAATTGAGAAATACAATTATCGTTCAAATCAGTTTTCGTTCCATTTTCCAAATAAAATTTTGATAAGATAAATCTCAAGAGGGAAAAAATTGGCTTATAGGAGAAGGTATATAAAACATTTTGAATAATTAAAAACAAGTAATACTTAGAATCGGAAACGAAAAGACACTTCCTACGTCATTATGCTATCTCCGGTTCTTTTCTATGATTTCTTCCGCAATAATAATTTTTAATTTCTTCTCAGTGAAAGAAAAAAGAACGAAAGTTTAATTTGAAATTTATTTGTTATGCAAAAGGAGTGAAATATTTCATTTCGCTTTCCTTTCACTTTTTATTTATTAAATTTGCACTTACCAAGTTCGTAAATTCTTTATTTTTACTGCTTAATTTTTTATAAAAAGCTTTTTTCAGTTAATTTTTGCTTTTGTTTTTTGTACTTTAAAATTTACTGAACTGAACATATTTATTATATTTTTAGAAGAAAATCAGAGAAATACAATATTAGTTTTTCATTTGTTTATTTATTTACTTTTTGTTTATCAATTAAGCCGAAAAAAAGGACAAAAAATTGTGTCACTAAAGTTCAATTCTATCCTTTGATGAAAGATTTAAAATTATGTTCTTGGTAGATCAGAGCTTATTAAGTAATTAGTCTTTGATTAATGAATAAGCTTGTTGTGCATCATTTTACTACAAATTCTAAGACAGTGCGATTCAGTGAATGAAATTGACGGCTTCAACGTTTTTCCCGTCTCATTTTTTTTCCTTCTGTGGACACGTATTTATTTGAACGATAGATGGAAGCTAAATTACATCAAAGCCATTCATCTAATTCTAACGTTTTTTTCTTTTTTTTTTACGTAAAACCGGTTTTGTGGGTTGTTCGATGAAAAACATGCATAGTTTTAAATGGATGATAAATATTATTGGCAATATGGAAATTAATTCATAGAACATTCCATTTCCCAGCAAATGATAATGCTAAGAAGTGAAAAAGTGTAATAATACTTTTAGAAAATAAGATGTCCAAGTGACAAGTGTAATATAATTAATTGGAAATTATTTAAAACAATAATTAATTAACAACGATTGCAAAAAAGTAAATAAATAAATAGTTTTTGTTCATAATATGTAATAACTGTACATAAAAATATCGTTGACAGAAAAAATAAAAATCAATCAATGCTTTTTCTGTCATTATGTCTCTTTGTCGGCTAATTCATTCCTCTTTTTACTTTTACAAATAAATGAAATAGTAAGAAGAATGAGTAAAGTAAAGTGGGTAAAGTGAAGATGAGTAAGAAAGATGATGAATGAGATGACACAATTTAATTTTGAAGAAGATGGAATTAGAAAGGTGAAAAATATTTGAACATGCTTCCATTTAGCGCCAATTTTTCTCTTTTTTTTAGAAATAAAATTGCGTTTGTTAAGATATCAATTTTAGTTATTTTGAATCAAATGAATAGTCATTTGTAGATAGTTGATCATAATTTCATGATAATTTTTTCGCTGTTAATAATTTAATTTTGGCTCAAGATTTTTTCACTTTTTTGCCTAAACAAATTATTGATCTACAAAAATTTGATTTAAATCATCTGAAATTGGAACATTGAAAGTTCAAAAACTATAAAGCAACTCAATTAATTCACTAACTTAAATACAGAAATTAATTGTTGTATTTGTTTCCGATTATTTTATTAAATTTGTATGGCAAACAAACATAATGAATACACATATTTCTAATATTGGATATATTGCAGGAAAAATAATAAATACGGATCCAGTAATATTAAATGATTCGTAGCAAAGAAGAGAGCAAGTTCAGGCCCTTCTCTTTTCTGATTCAGGACAAGTCTTCTTGACTCTCGACGTGACCCATCTCTTACCCGGCAACTGACCTTATTCGTGTCACAAATATAAATCACTTGTGACATATATGTGCCCTAAATCGAGATTAATCGACCAAAATAAGAATGGAATGCTTATCGTAACGCTAAATAATTAGTATCATTGATAATTAAATATTGAAAGTGTTCGGTTGTAAACGTACATATTTTATTTCATGTACATACTATAACATTCCATTTTTTGTGCAGACTATAACATTCCATCTATGCAATACCTTCAAGTAATTTTTACTGATTAGACAATTAACGCTATAAAATATTACTTCCTTAGTTAACAAACAAACTTCTTTGATTTTTGAAAAACAAAGAAACTAAAATAAAATTGTTCCTATAACGAGTTTTGACCTATAATATATGTAAGTAATAGTTGTAAAATCGTAATTGGAAAAATGTGAAATGAATTAATTTTAATCAATACAATTCAGTTAATATAAAAAAAAAATGTAACCAAAAATGGACAGACAAAAAAAAAGAGGAAAAAACTAAACGACCTAAAGAGTACAGTCGATCATCTTTTATTAGTGTCGAAGTTGACATAAACAAAAATTCCATTTGTCAATCGTAATACGTTTCCCTTACCTACTTAGTGTTCATTTGCTTTTTTCACAACAATATGACCCATCATTTCAGTGATTAATAATCGCTGATCAACAGTCGAAATCATTCATTGCCCTTCAAAAATACAAAAAAGAAAAAAAAATGAAGAAAAAATAGGGTTTTTGACCTAAATGTTTGCTAGAAAGATGAAAAAAAATTTTTAAAACTCCACAAAATTTCATAAAATTTAGTGAACTTTCACAAACTCAAATGCTATCCTATTTCATATGAATTGAGCTTTTTTTATACTTTAAAGAAAATTATCAAAATAGCCATGTTAAGAATTGGAAACTTCAAGTTTAAAGAGAACGCAAAATACGATGTATCCTATCGCGATATTTTCAAATATCAGTTACATTTTCATGTCAATATTTCCATCCAAGATGATTTACGACTCACCACGGTTTTTTTTATAGAGTGACCACTCGAGTTGTGGTGAAACCCGTCCATTACACACCTCAATCTTGATGTTATAAATTGTGTAATCAAATCAGTAATTGCGCAATTAGCGTACATCATCTCTTGAATCCGCCATATTCTATTTAAGTTCTGGAACATTGAAAAAAATCAGCCCCATCTTATCAACTTATTACTCAGTCATGCTAACTATAATACCCAATAAAAAATTGCGTGGAAGAAGCATCTATCATATAATTCAAAGAAATGAATAGTTCATTTTATCACATTTAAATTTTTAAATTGCAAACTTATATATTATATTCAACACCTCAATGTTTATTTTATTTTTGAATAAAAAAGCGCAGTACAAGTTTAAATCAATTCGAACAATGATTTGCAGAATCTTTTTATATACAATTGTGATCAATAGACAGGTAACTTGTACATTTCTGCAAGTAATATTGTCAATGTACCATTTACACAAAGTATCAAAAAGAAAAATTGTTTTTTGGAGAAGGAATTTCTTTGCTACAAAGTAAGAAGCATAACAAGAAGTCTTTCAGAGAATTGAAAAAATAAAGGATATTTCGCTAATTGAAAGATTGTTAATAAAGTTCGAGCTAGTGTAAATACTCATATGTTAGTGAATTACGATCTCAAAGCGACCGAAGCCGTGCAGCTTTTTCTATCCAGGTTAGTCCATTTGTGTTCTAAACCTGCTCTTCCCATCATTTAAGTATTTTTCTCAATGCCGATCGAACAACCACTATCTTACGCTCATCGCTCGACAATATAAAAACTCAAAAAATGTATCAGGCCAGTATCAAACTAACCATCGTCTAATATAATTTATAACAATATTAGGATTTAAGAGTAAACTCAATTGGAAAAGACACTACTTAAAGGCACTTACGTCTCTTTTTGCTTACAATAGAAAAGAAAAAACGAAATAAAGACGGGAAAAAACATATCTAAGTAAATTTGGTTTATCTGCAAAAAGTATTGTAACATCACTAGCATTCTTCATTAACACGATGAAAAAATTGAAAAAGAGATCGCAAAAATGCAAAAAAGCCGGCATCTGACATAAGAGAATGAAGAAATTTTTCTCAAAAAATCTGCTGAATGAAATGTTTACAAAAAGTACGGTGCAACAATACGATCCGGTTTTTCACGCTCACTATCACTGGCTTCATCAAAGTATTTTACTTGACGTTCATTTGAACTTATTTGAAGAATTGCTGCTTCATTCCCACAACGATAACAATAATTTGGCGCTGAAAAGCACACAATACTGTGATTTTCCATCACAAAGTTAGCTTATTATTGTAGAAGTAAATTATAACAAACAGAAAGTAATATTTTTTTAAAGTGATCTTTTGGTAAAAAAAAAAAGGAAAAAACACATAATTTTAAAATTAAAAACATCTAATGATATTCTGCTAAATGCAATTGTAGCGGAAGCGATAACTGAATCTGCTTATATTTGTTTTTTCTTTTTTTTCCTTTCTATTTCTTTTTCTATCACTACTTTCTTTTCTTTCCTATTTCTTTTTTCTATTTCTTTCTCTTTTTTCCTATTTCTCTTCTATGTGTTTGGAATAATTGTCAGTGATTATTACACACAATAAACGACAATTCCGGCAGCAAATAACCATATTAAAATGAAAAGCGCTTAAAATTACCCACAGTTGAAACCGAAAATACGAGTAGCAAGTGTAAGGGAAACACGAGAAAAAAATTTACCAGACCAGACGGTGCATAGCATGTCATCCCAGATATATTTGAAACCCTCCAGCACCAGCTGATGAGACCGGCATATTAATGTAAGGTCATTGGTATGCATAAAACGTTTAGTTACCTCCTGACCGAAAAGCTGCAAATAATCGTTATCCAATAATCAACAGATTATACGATGAACCTCAGTAAAAGTTCAGTAAAATGAAGATTAAATTGTATTTAATGAATGTCATGAAAAGTGATGGAATAACTAACCCATCCGGCACCTCTTGGACTTAATTCCCATCCCTCTTCCGTTGGCTCCGGATCAGACCATACTAAATCACATAAAGCACCTTTGCTCGGAATTTCAACAGCTCTGAAATAACCAGTACATAAGAGACATCACAACATTTCCGGTTTTTTTCCTTATTTCTTAATTAAAATGCCACTTTGGGATCAAAAAGCATATAACTGATATTATATTTCTTTTCAAGAGAAAATAAGTTTGAAGTATTAAACGCAGGACATGTTAGTGTACTCATGCTGTAACAAATAACATATTAAATACCTGTCCAAAATAAACATCTTTTCAAGAGTTTTGATTTCCGGTGATAATCCACCATGAACGCATAAAATGTGGTCATCAATTAGAGCGCCAACAGGTAACATATCAAATACCTAAAATTCTGATGACTACAACTATCATTTATGCCACCCATTAAATTTCGATTCCTAACCTTACAACAACATCGCCAAACCATGGCATGTCCATATTTCTGTACACATTCATCATAAAATCCATAAACAGCTGAAATACGTCGAGATTCATGATTTCCTCGCAAAAGTGTTATTGATTCTGGATACCTGAGCATTAATGTGAACAAATATGTCAGAGTTTCCAAGCTATAGTACCCTCTGAAAAATTATCAGATTCCTTAATACAGTTATTGTTCCAATAAACAGCCAATTACTGATAAACGGAACAATAAGTCTGAAGTCCAAAGTAATTTTCAATTTCGAATGTGTAAAGAAAATTATTGAAATGAACCTGTCAACGTAATCGCCCATGAAAACATATCTGGTAGATGGCACACGGCCACCTGTTTCAAACAATTTTAACAAGTCATAAAATTGTCCATGTATATCACCACAAACAGTCACTGGTGAACTTATTTCAACAACATTCGATTCATGCGATAGACGAGTAACCAACCTAAATATAAAATTAACTGCAAAATGTGGTAGAAAAGTAACCGACAATTGGACTGAAATTTAAGGTATTCATTTAACATGAATCGATTTGGGATACCTAAACAGCTACAATTTGGACTCCTGTTACTTAAAACCTAAGATTTGTGACGATTCGTCACTTCTAGTAACGTGGTACTTTTCTCAGACTAATGGTTCAAATTCCCAACAAAAAAACTGGTAAAATTTAGTCTCAAAAATATTGAAGAAATTCACATATCACAGAGTAGAATCATCTCATCTTCTGGTAAATATTGACATTTCGAACTTTCTTCCACCCATCTATCAGCATCAATGGTTAGTCCTCGATAATGTAATTGAAATTGTATTCCATCACCACCCCTTTGTTCCTCTCCAGCTTTAGTCATAATCTGAAAGTTCTCTTGAGAAAAATTTTGTTTGATTATCATAAAATCAAAACAGTTCGTGAAACATTAACAATCCAATTCCTGGATTGAGATTGTTTCGGAACTGAGAGATTCATCAATCGGTTCCCATATGTGACTACTTTACAGGAATCTATGATCTATAACTGAGACTCGTAGGTAATTTTTCTCATTGTTTCATAATCACGTTTTATTCCACCAAAATTAATGAGGCCTTAAAAAACTTCAAGACAACTTCTTAATGATAAAAATTATCCTTTAAAAAAATTTATGGAACTGACAAACCTTCCGGCGTTCACCTCTCCATGCTCTCCGGAACCTACTACTGCGTGAAAAACTATTCTTCTTTTTCTTGGATGGATTCATTTTCTTGAAGCACAAAACTACTTACAAGCTACAGGAGAGTACCAATAGACTAGAAACTGATAAAGAAATCAAAACTGTTTACTTAAGATTAGATGTATTATACTAACTATACGTGCGACATAAACTTTTTTAGTCTTTCCCAACCTCTTTGGTATGACATCATCGACTCTAACTTCTCAAAGAGTCATATCACCCCTCTCATAACTTTACTTAAACACTGGAACATTGAACAAATGCAGATCATATCTACAAAAAATGAACAGCTATATACCTAACAGAAAAGAATTCCTAGAACCTACTATAAATAACAACTTCCTCTCAAGAACAATATATCCTTCACTGATGTAGGATCCAAATCTGAATATAACCTGTTATAGAGCCTTAAGCATGAGCATATGGAATCTAAACATTTCTAAGAAATAAGTGCATATGAAGAGATCGGAAGAAACTCTTCGGCATCTTTTCAAAATGAAATTTTTTAATTTAGGGAATTCAAAAGACCTACATATCCAACCATGCATATTCATCTGCGTCCCGAAAGTTATATATTGAAAGAAAAAATAGTGTAAGTGTACCGCTTAACAATATTTTCGACGGTAACAGCCAAAAATTTAAAACTTCTGATGTAATAAATCATTTACTACCTTTGCATACTCAAAGTAAAGCATTAAAGTAATTCAACAGGAAATGGGCAATACTATTATGGGATAAAATATTTTTATGCCAGCATATAAGCAAAAGACAAAAAAATGAAGGGCAAAATGTAATAACAAGGAGTGGAAATACAAGAAGTACCAACTCTTTTTCACTAGACTTTCATAAGAAGATCACTTGTTTCCTCTGCCGTATATTTCTAATAAAGTTCAACGCTTTAACGGTAACAAATACAATAGCAACAAGTGAAAAAATTACAAAGAGTACTACCAATTACAATCACTGCACAACACCCACTTTTGCTGCACGAATTGGTCGATTCTGCAAAGCGTAACCTATTTTTACTACTTGTGCTACGCATCCAGACTCGAATTTTGCCTAAATAAATTGCATATTAATATTTTCAGACCCTCAATTTTGATACGAAAACAGCTTTTTGAGCCATAAATAAAATATCCTTTTTTAGCACATGGCATACAGAAGGCAGGTCATGAAGGCAATGGACAACATGAAATATCAAGAGACTTGCAGATATAAACTGAAGTATGGAAAATCCGGAAATGAAAGAGCTTTCGAAAATTTAATGCTTAACAACAGAATACATTAACTAGTCTTTTAAAGATGAAAAATAACTTACTTTGTCTTTCGGTATCTGAAAAACAGCTTCATGCAATCCTGGGTCGAATTTTTCGCCCTCTGGAGAAATCTGTTTTAATCCATGTTTATCGAATGTTTTTTGCAATACTGTTCTCGTCATCTCTAGTCCTTCGAATAAATTTTTTAAAGAAATATTATTGTCCAATTCCTCCTTCTTTACTGCGTCCACTGCAAGATCAAGGATATCTGCCACCTGAAAAAAAAAAAAAAAACTTTCTTTCAGTCTAAAGGACAAATTTCTTTCTTAAGTGGATCAAAAATAAAAGGAACAAACTTCAAGTAGATCTTTGCAGAATCCCTGGATAGCAAATACTTTCGCTTCCTCTGTTTGG